ATGAGTAATTTTTTCGTTTTTGTATTTTTTAGATCGCCCAGCAAGATGTTTTGTTCGCCATTTGGCGACCGGGCGACCGCTGTGTCCGAGCACTGATGTGACATGACGGGGTGATGTGACATGAGGTGGTGACTGTGACATGAGGGTGAATGGACATGAGGGTGTTGACATGAGGGTGATGTGACATGAGGGGGTGATGTGACATGAGGGGTGATGTGACATGAGGGGTGATGTGACATGAGGGGTGATGTGACATGAGGGGTGATGTGACATGAGGGGTGATGTGACATGATGGGTGATGTGAACAGTGGATGTGACAGGGGTGTGAGAATGAGGGGTGATGGACACTGAGGTGATGGGACATGGAGGGTGAGCGAACCTGAGAAGTGACAATGGAATGAGGGGTGATGTGACATGAGTGATGTGACAATGAGGTGAATGAGCATGAGGGTGATGTGACATGAAGGGGATGTGATGTGACATGAGGGGTGATGTGACATGAGGGGTGATGTGACATGAGGGGTGATGTGGAGAATGAAACTTCAGGTACTGCTCCTCACAACTTTGTCGTTTCCGTAACGCATGTAAGCTGGTTTCTACAATGCAGCCCGTCCTGATATTTACATGATGAATGTGCCCGGCACTGTGATTGCAGATTCACCGCTAAACTGACTACGTAGCCAGCATAAAGTGACCAAATGTCAGCTCCTCTGATAAAATTGTAAAAAGAACGTCCTCGTTATAAAGTAATTGGCGAAAAACTGATAATGATATACTGTATCTAACAGCAAACAAACCCTCGCATTTTCGTGGTGGGGGTTCCATCTAGATCACTTAAAAGTGAATTTTCCAACAAAAAGTGGTTTTTACTTTTAGCTCACCCGGCACAGTCGGTCGGGTGCAGCTCATAGATTGGGATGAGCGTCCGTCCGTCCATCAACAATATGAGTGCATTATCTAAACGGTTTGGCGTACGGTCCCACATTGATATATGACATGTCGAACTAGGATTTTCACTTGTGATTTCCTTTTTGTTGTTTTGCTTAGTAATAGTCACAGTAGTAGTCATGCAGGTAACTTGTAGCCGCAAAGTAGTGGGAACTCCCACATTTATCTGCAGACTTTTCTCTTTTTTTAGGGCAGGTAGTCGTGGACTCCCTGGTACAAATAATTTTTTTTGCCCCTGCCATTGTTGGTGCAGCGACACGCGTGGATCTCGGTGTCTGTACAGTACAGTAGATAGCGCAGCGTGGCGGCGCAGCGCAGCGTGGACTAATGCGGGTGATGGGGGGGGGTGCGTCTGGTTTGATGGGATGGTGCCTGCGTGTTAAGCCGCCTTGCGCGGCACTATGCACGCGTGCTATGCAGCCTGGTGTAGTACGTGCGTATTAGGGTGTCTGCGCCAGTGTGGTGCGTGCGTGCGTGCGTGAGTGTTGTTAGGCGGCCTGGTGTGGTCTGGTGCGTGTGCGTTAGGTTGCCTGAGGCGTGTTCAACAGCGCGAACGCTCGCAGCACGAACGCAGCGCCACGCGAACGACACACGAGCGCTCGCTTTATCCAAGATGGCGGCCCCCATGGCGGCTTCCTCAGCAGAGAGGGACAATCTGACCAATCACGCCAGGCCTCGACGCTTATTTTCAGATCTGGTTGTCCTGTCGGGCAACAAGAAGCAATTTTTACTTGTCCGAATTTTGATTTTACTTGTCCAAAATTTACTTGCTATCTATGAGCCGTTAAGGTCCTCTTTTGGTTCAGTGCATATCGTATATAATTACCAGGAGTGTATAATATAGAAATCTATATTATATAAATAGATATATAAATATATATACATATATATAACATATATA